TGCATTTTTGGTCACTGTTGACCCAAGGTAGCACCTTTGTTTATCTTATTCTACACTCTGGCATCTAATGGCAATCCCCTCCCCTGTGTTTCAGATGCCAGTCAGGAATTCTGCAGAAATTCAGTAGAGAATTTTTTTTTCTTAGCATTAGCAAAACATTTCAATAGAGAACTGAAAGATCTGATAAGTTACAGCAGGTGTTTTTGTTTTATCTTAAGAACAGGCTAATGCCTCATTTCCTTCTCTAGTCCAATATAGAAATCATCTATGGCTATGCATCATTCACAAGCGATCCCCAGCCCACGGTAGAGGTCAATGGGAAAAAATATACCGCTCCGCACATCCTGATTGCCACTGGTGGTGTGCCCGCCATTCCTCAGGACAGCCAGATCCCTGGTGAGTCTTCAAGGCAAATACTTGTTAACATCAGTGGGGAGGAGTGTACTATGGCTTTCAACCCGCCAAGCCAAACCGGGGCATCTGTATTCTCTTTCTCTCTTGGAAAAGCCCACTAGGGAAGGTCTCTGCAGAGCCTAACTAACTCTAAGTAGTTGCTCACCATGGGGCAAAGAAAGATTTCATCAGGTTCCAGTCTTGGACATACCACAGATGATAGAGAAAAATCAGGGGGAGCCTCATTCTTGCCTTCTCAGCATGGACTAGATTGTTTCCAGCTTCATTTTGTCCAATGGGTTATTTCTAAAACACATGATACATTCACCGCTTTGTTTATAGGAGAGAAAAATTGTAAAGATGTTGCTTAACTAGCTAAGTAAAGTTTACATGCATACTTTTCTCAAATGTAGAATTACACTGTAGAGGAAAACAGTAAGGAATTTCAGAGACGGTCCTATCCACCTATGCATTTTATATACATGGGAGCTGAGCCTCAGGAATGAATCATGAATATACCTGCTTATTCTCTCAGAAGAAACATCGTAAAGAAAAAAACATTATCCATGTATTTCTCTGTAACTAGATAATAAGGACTTTGTGAATGGTGAACATAGTTTATGTGTCTTTGTATGTCTCCAAAGACTGATTTCATAAGACCCATGGCCAGGTGGTGCCTGTGGCTCGGTGAGTAGGGCACCAGTCCCATATGCTGAGGGTGGCGGGTTTGAAGCCACTCCGGCCGAACTGCAACAAAAAATAACCAGATGTTGTGGTGAACACCTGTAGTCCCAGCTACTCGGGAGGCTGAGGCAAGAGAATCGCTTGAGCCCAAGAGTTGGAGGTTGCTGTGAGCTGTGATGCCACCGTACTCTACCCAGGGTGACAGCTTAAGGCTCTGTCTCAAAAAACAAACGCTTCATGGAAAGATTCAAACCCAGTTCAGAATTTAATGTTCAGTTGAGTTTCTCTTTTGACTTTCGTTCATAGACACATATGTGACTTTCAATTCGACCCTCCAGCAAGT